ATAGAGGTTACGATAAAAGACTTGACATAAAACCTTAAAATCAATGGTTGAACGATGAAACGGCATGAGTAAAACAATGAAAGGACAATAAAGCATAGGAAATGCAAGATGCAGAGAATCCCTGTTGATAAAATGCCTTCTGGTAAAGGCGGGTTTTAAGGTTGCGTTTGAAAATAGACAAAATACTAAAACTATATGTTAATCGGTATTCTTTCTTTTCTTGTATCTTTTTCTTTTATCTGTACGTTTATTTTAAAATGGACTTTAAGTCTGGCAATAAACATATTGTTATTATATACAGCAAGATCTATTTCCAAAGTATTCTTCCAAACATTTGATTTTCAGTTCAGGCCAGTCAGCCACACCGAGCCGCTGCAGCTCCTCGATGGTGTTCTCTAGATATTTTAGGCTTCATCTGTTTCTATATGATTCCTTCACTCTTCACTGAGTTGTCAGAGACAGAGCGTGATGCACTGCGACGGATGATGACGGTGAGTCCAGGGTGGGATTTTGAGGACTGAGGCTCTGTAACTGGTCCACTATGGTACGCCTTCCTGCCACAGCCTCAAACTCACCCACATGATCCTTCAAAATAAAATTAGAAAAGGATTCTGCTTTTACTGCATGTAGTAGACTTCGTCCTATTTGCATTTGTGTGTGAGAGGTGTAATTAAGCAGACAAAGATGTATGAAAGTGTTATTACTGCAGGTTATTGTGGATTACTGATTTCCCAGAGAATTTTTAGGGTAATTATAAGCAGTGAGAGCTTTCTTTCTTCTTGTGTTTGTAACTGTGTGACCCTAACATATCGGCACGTTTGTGTTTGTCCCCCACCCCTCTGTTCTTCCTATTATCCATGTGTCATTCAGACAAGCCAGTGAGGGAGGTAGTGTGTTCATGCTAGAGTAGGGTACAATGGATCCCGTGGAGCAGTTCAAATTGTAGATTTATGCTTTGTAATTGATGTCAAAGCTCTGAAGAATATCAGCTGCTACTTTTGAAATTCCATTCTGTGCATTATTAAAATATCCTTCATCTGCAGCCAGCAGCTGAATCACAAAAGTAAACCCACGTTTTTCTCATACGCTTCTTTTGTTACCATTTATGACTCAGAGCCAGGTTTGTTCTGACATTCAAGACTCGGAGAGCTGTAAACAGCCATGATAAAAACCTGATCTTCTTGTTTGTCACCGATTCTGTTCATAACTCTTATGGACAGGATTTCTCGGCACAGCCGAGGTGTCGAGGGGATCTGTTTTGGTGGCCTAAGCATCAGGTCTCTGCTTTTTGCAGATGATGTGGTCCTGTTGGCAAATGGAGCATGAGATCGATAAGCGGATTGGTGCTGCATCTGCAGTGATGCGGGTGCTGTACCGATCTGTTGTGGTGAAAAGAGAGCTGAGCCGGAAGGCAAAGCTCTCGATTTACTAGTCGATCTACGCTCCTACCCTCACCTATGGTCACGAGCTTTGGGTAGTGACCGCGATTGCAGATACAAACGGCCAAAGTGAGTTTTCTTTGCTGGGTATCTGGGCTCTCCCTTAGAGATAGGGTGAAAAGCTCGGTCATTCAGGAGGGGCTCAGAGTAGACTCGCTGCTCCTCCACATCAAGAGGGGCCAGTTGAGGTGACTCAGGCATCTGGTCAGGATGCCTCCTGGGCGCCTCCCTGGTGAGGTTTTCCAGGCATGTCCAACCGGGAAGAGACCTAAGGGAAGACCCAGGACACACTGGAGGGACTGTCTCTCAGCTGACCAGGGAACACTTTAGGATTCCCCCAGAGAAGCTGGCCCAAGTAGCTGGGGAGAGGGAAGTCTGTGCCGCCCTGCTTAGGCTACTGCCTCCATGGCCTGACGCTGGATTAGCAGCTGAAAATGGATGGATGTATAAACTGTTAAAAAAAAGACAAACACTCACTGCTACTTTATTGCCTTTATCTGATATTCTCATGCATGGTAATCATAGTTAAATGCCCCGATCCAATCCCATGATCGGAAATTGGGCCTGATCATGTGACTTTAAAAAAATTTGAAATTGGGTGAAAAAGATTGGATTTAACCTTAAAAACAACAAATATGACTTTTTAAATTCATCCTGAGACAGATTTTCAGATGGAATAACAATGGCTTAGTTTAATCTCATCATCAGTATCTTTTATTTCTTAGACGAAAACACCATTGTGTCACACAATTTACTGCAGGTGGGGATTCAGACACCATAACATGCAGCTGTTATCTTGTAGACTAACGCAGATCTATCAGTATTTTGGTTGTATTTCAAACTGGACAGCAAAGGTAGTGTAACAGCCAATAGTAATTTGTGCATACTGGGCATTCAACATGCTGGAAAACACATCTCCACAGCGAATCATCGGTTTGCATTAAGTCTCAGTTCACAGCAGGATATCTAACAAAAACTCAGTCAGCCAACAGTGAACGGCATGTTAATAAACACAGAGAAATTGCGACAGAAGGCAAAACAACTAGGGCTGCAACTAACGATTATTTTCATAATCGATTAATCTGTCGATTATTTTTTTCGATTAATCGATTAATCGGTTTGTTATTGTTTAGCTATTTAACCTATACAAGTGATGAAGACATTTCAGTTAAGAAAAAGAAAAACATAAGAGAATTGTGCAGTTGACTGCAATCTATTTTATTGCACATTAACACAGTCAGCGGTGTAAAATGAGCTAAACAGTGCAAAATATCAGTCCAGAATAATTTTTTGGCATCAAAATATAAGAGGTAAATTCCATAAAAAATTAAGTAGAATCTAGAATAGAGTTTGTAAGTGGTATGCATTGCTGGGGGGTGAGTGTCATGTTCCCCATGTAGTTGTCCATCATTGCTTGTTTTTTTCTGCATAAGAAACACAAATAGACTGAAATAAGTACACATATAAAATAAAGCAGCACACACACTGCAACACTAAATCAATATTACATTATTTGAATTAATTAACAATATACAGTGATCATTTATTTTGACAAAAATGTGTTGTGAGGCGTTTTACAGTGTTAGACAGTAAAACAGCCTTTTAATAGTAAAAAAAAGACTTTCTGAATTTGTCCTGTATTTGAAAATTGAAAGCGTACAACTATGCCGCGTTATATTCACCTGGACACAGCTCGTCTGTATATTTTTCTCCGCGGAGTTGTCCTTTTTTGAATGAGGAAAATAGTTATGGGTTTGTGCCGTTTTTCTCTTAACGAGAACATTCTTATAAACAGACGTGCTAAATTTGGCAAGCGCATGATACACAACACGGAGATTCACGATTGCATTTAGTCAATCAGAAGTAGAACACCGTAGACTGACGCGGCAAAAAAACATGTTTAACATCCACTATAACGAACTCAGCTCCCAAATTTGATCTGCGTTAGCTTGTTTATTTTCTGTTACTTACCTGATTTACCGGACTTTCCTCTGCTGCATCAGCCCCCACGTTTTCGTCTCAAATGTTCACTTAGGGACGTCGTGCCTCTGTGCCATGCTAGATGGTTTTTGCATATTTTGCAGGTCACCCGTCTTTTCAAGGCATCTAGAGTGAAGTGCTCCCATACTCGTGAGGTTTTTGTCCGGGGTTTCTCTTCAGTTTTGTCGCTTCTATTTTTCTTCCGTATTTCTTCTTGTTCCGCCATCTCTCACAGCAAGATGCGCGTCAGTAACGTGTTACGTCGTGAAAACCGAGGGCACTTATTGGCTCGTTTCTTCTTCTACGGCTCCACTGGTAGATCAGTAGCTCATTACTGCCACACACTGGCGGCAAATTTAACAGATTGTAACCGATGTCAGATTGTGGTAAAAAAAATAGACTTTATGCAGTAAAATATGATTATTAAACAACTAATCGATGACTAAAAAAGTTGTTAACTATTTTAATAATCGATTATAATCGATTAAATCGATTAGTTGTTTCAGCTCTAAAAACAACATGGTTTCTCATTCTGCAGCACTTGAGCTGTCCGCGCCGATAGCTACAGGTGTTATGCAGATAAAAGTTAGCCGGTAGGTTGTGGTGCCGTGTGCCTCCTCTAACACGGGAACATGCATCACTAAATAGAACCACTTAATGAGGACATGAACAATTAAATTTAAAAAATTACTTGGTAAAGCTGAGCTCAAGAAAATATCTGTGGTAGGTAATACTTCTGAAAGTACCTGAGATGTTTGGCGACCTTGGTAATTCTTTTGGTAGGTACTTTTTTGATCTGAGAGGGACATTAGTTGGTGTTGGAGCATTCAACACGGTTGGTTGATCATTCCTAATGACCATCCATTAGAAATGTGAATGATAAAACACTGGCGCATCAATATAAGCTCATTCCTTAGTAGAACCACATCTAATCAGGGCTGAAAGAAACATGGATGACGCCATGTTGAAGTTATAGGCGGGATGGAGGAAATGCGCCAAAGTGGAAGACCGAATGCCAAATCCAGCAAGAAAGTTAAGGTGTTACCTGAAGTGCTTCTATTTCTCAGATTCTTGTTCATGTAAAGAACTAGGAAAGAAGGACTGGGGAAGCATTGGTGGGAACTTCTGATGATGGCAACCCAACTATTGGGATCATAAACACAAACAGTGGAACAAGGTTCTTCCAAAGTTTGTTTGAATAAAGTGAGAGGCCTGGTTTACGTAAAGGGCCTTAGACAACAATTGCTCCTCTGGAATTCTTCTAGGAGACATTTCTGAGGCTTGTCCCAGCTGGGAGAGCTACTGGGGCTGACCCAGAACCTGCTGGAGAAAATGGGTTTTATCAGAATGGTATTGTCCCTTAGAAAGAGTGAGAGAGCAAAACAAAGAACAATCCTATATGAATTGTGAAACCCTTGTGCGTAAGCACAAACTGTGACCATTCTAGTTCCGATTGAGATGTTTGTGTAAGGCTTTCTCCATCCATAGCCATCACCCTTTAGACCAGGGGTCACCAACCTGGTGCCCCAGGGCACAGAGCTCATAAGGTATCAAATTCTTGTATGTTCCTTTGTTTGCCAGACCACCACTCTGATCGGTTTGCTGAAGACGGCCCGTTTGTTAAGGCTGGTTCGAGTTGCTCGTAAGCTGGACCGATACTCAGAGTACGGTGCTGCCGTTCTCATGCTGCTCATGTGCATCTTTGCCCTGATCGCCCACTGGTTAGCCTGCATCTGGTATGCAATCGGCAACGTGGAGAAGCCTTATCTGGAGCACAAGATCGGCTGGCTGGACAACCTGGGGGTGTCGATAGGTACTTTCTGATAACGTCGGTTCTGCCAACAAGGTGGAAGAGAATACACAGTAATGAAATTGTCTGTTGTTCACTACAGGAAAAAAGTACAACTACAGCGACCCCACCTCAGGCCCCTCCATCAAAGATAAGTATGTCACAGCGCTGTACTTCACCTTCAGTAGTCTGACCAGTGTGGGCTTTGGGAACGTCTCCCCCAACACCAACTCTGAGAAGATCTTTTCCATCTGCGTCATGCTCATTGGATGTGAGTGGCAGCTGACCTCCTATTGATTCAGGGTCGTCTCTATGCAGATGATGTTTCATTTATCTAATGAGAATCTACTTCCATGGTGATTGTAATGAGCCTTTCTAAGGGAAATGATAACTTATGCGTATCCATGTTACCCAACTTAACCCTCGACTGTTCGGCTCCTCAACCAGCTCTAATGTACGCCAGCATCTTTGGGAATGTGTCCGCCATCATCCAGAGGTTGTACTCGGGTACGGCCAGGTACCATCTCCAAATGCTAAGGGTCAAAGAATTCATCCGCTTCCACCAGATCCCCAACCCGCTGAGGCAGAGGCTGGAGGAGTACTTCCAACATGCCTGGACGTACACCAACGGCATCGATATGAACATGGTACGAACACAACACACAAGTATAAATGTGTTTTCACTTCTCACAACTAAAGTAAAATTGTGTTTATCGCCCCCTGCTGTTCCTTCTCTCTACCTCCCAGTTTCATTTGTGTGAGTTGGATGTTTTGAACACCATTTCTCCTGAAATTCCTCTATCCTGTCCTGAAAATTCTCTTACCACATCACTGTGAAGCAGTCTTTGCCTTGCCATTGGCATAGTTTAACGGCTGTGTCTACATTCAGGGGCAGCATCCTTGTAAGGACCTGGCCTAGCCAGACCATGTAGGCCAGATCCTTCATCAACCAGGAAGTCCAGAAGTGAGCAGCTATGAAACAGATAAAAAAATCTCTTGTTTGGCCCTAATTGAGTCTTGGAGTAGGGTGGGCTGACAAGGATACACCAGACACGTCTTTGATATTCCGGGAAGGAAGGATGCATTTGAGGGATCATTTTGAGGTGCCATGAAATTTGGACTGCCTTTAAAACATTGCTACTGATGTAAGATGCCTTCAAATGCAGCCTCGGAAGGATGCGGCCCCTGAAATTGGACATCCTGTTTTCATCTCGGTTATAGTTTGCAGTGTTCAGTCAAGTGAAATGAAGGCCAGAGTTACTTTGTATGACAACAGTAACTGGGGCTTGCTTAGTCATGAAGCTGCTCATCGTACTTATACAAGTTTGTCTTTTCCATGTCTGCCATGTCAAATGGAATGACCCCCACCACTCTGGTAAGAGCAGGAGGTACATGTTCTAACTCACCAAATACTCCTCAGTGGTAGAACCTTAGCTGTGTCTCAGAGCTGTAGTGGAATGCAGTCAGCTTTTTATATTTTATTTGTTTGGACGTGTGAACAACAACTAATGTGGTTTTATTAGTGATATTGTGGACTATTGTGACATTTTTAAGTGTGTTTCTGTGAATAGTATTTCAGAGCTTTCTGAAAGCCTCCCCTCACAGACACTGCTACCATTTTCTCCAAATACAGAGATTTGCCCCAACTGAACCACGCACAATTCGCGTTTCGTGAGAAAAAAAGATTTTTAGATACTTTCTAAAAATACTTGAGTAGCTTGAGCAACTAACGGTACTGATGCACTAACAGTTAGTCTGACTGCAGCTGAGTCCATCCTAAAATAGCTTTAATCCAAGATGCCATAGTAGTTTGTGCAACTTTGTTTCATAAACTTGCACATCGCCAACAACTTTCACATAGAAGTATAAATATAACCAGTCACAGTCTAATAAGGCAAATCAGGAGCATCCTGGGTTCAAGTACATATTAATTTTCATATTTTCTCCCAATTCTGCAATGTGAAACGTTGTGCATCTACACAAACCGTTAATTTACTGCAGCCGAATCAGAGATTCACCTTGATTTTAGCTGCATGCAGTCAAGCTCAGGGGTCCCAAAACTCATGAAGTTAAAAGTGCTCATGAGCAACGAAAATGGGACATTTCCAATTTTTAAACATGCAAAAATATATTTAAATGACCTGCATTTGATATAGCGCCTTCTAGATTCCTGGAGCCCCCCAAGGCGCTTTACAGCACAAACAGTCATTCACCCATTCACACACACATTCACACTCGGGTGGTGATGAGCTATGATGTAGCCCCAGCTGCCCTGGGGCGCACTGACAGAGGCGAGGCCGCCGAGCACTGGCGCCACCGGTTCCTCCGACCGCCACCAGCAGGCAGGGAGGGTTAAGTGTCTTGCCCAAGGACACAACAACAGCAACAAACTGAGTAGGGCTTGAACCTGCATCCTTCCGATTATGGGGCGAGCACCTAACCCCTGTTCCACCTTCGCCCAGTATTTATTATATATGTGTTTATTAGAGCAGTAGCTCAGGAGGTAGAGCAGGTTGTCCAGTAATCGGAAGGTTGCAGGTTCAATCCCGACTCTGACCAGAGAATACATCCATTGTGTCCTTGGGCAAGACACTTAACCCACCTTGCCTGCTGGTGGTGGCCGGACGGACCGGTGGCGCCTCACCTCCGTCAGCGCGCCCCAGAGCAGCTGTGGCTACATGGTAGCTCATCACCACCAGCGTGTGAATGTCTGTGTGAATGGGTGAATGACTGACTGTGTTGTGAAGCGCCTTGGGGGGTTGTAGAACCCTAAGAAGGATCTATACCAATACAGACCATTTACCACTTAATTTATTTGTAATGCTGAAAAATATTAGTAAACGTCTGAACATGAAAATGCTAAAAGTGTCTTTGTACACCAACGTCCTGCTGGAGAGACTAAAGTCCACCATTCTAGAAATGTGACTCAGGGTCACACAAACCCACTTTGGACATGCTTGGACCACCTGTTAGCTCATCAGTCCTGTAGGATTTAAACTATTTCCCCAAACAGGCTGTTCAGAAAGCAAGAAACGATTTACAACTTTTACACAAAAACAAGCTTAAAAATCGCCCAAAATGTCCTTGAAGTTGAGGTTTTTAAGTTATTTTCCAAAGCTGTCCCGAACATGCATGATACTAGAAAGCATTTGTGTTTTTTTTCTGTCACATATCTCAATGCACAGTCATGAATCGACACAAGGACTGTAAATGACATCATGGATGGATTTACAGTCTCAGTTTAAAAAAGACCCTCAGGCGCTCCAGTGAAGCTTCTATAGACCTGCAGGTGGTCTGCCTGGAGGTCCTCTTTTTTGCATGGAGTCTGTGTATTCCAACACAAAGCCCATGAAATTCATGTGGTAGCAGAGACGGAGTGATTCATGCCTGTGTGAGTGGGCACAGCCTCGCCGTGCGCTGCCAGGTTTCCCTCCTACTGTGGGAGGCTTGGCTGCACACTCGGCGGTGGCACCTGCACTTGCCAAATGCTGTTCGGTCTCTCTTTTTCATATCCAGAGCCACGGTTTTTGTTACGAGCAACACAAAGGGTTGTTATGAGCTAAAATGTTTCAAAGTGTAAAATATAGCACCAATTCAGACGTTTTCTTTTGCGTTGCTTGTGTCATTAGAACATTATTTTGTGTGTGTGGAAATAACCAGAATTATGTGTGTTTTCTTGTTTACCTGAGCGTCATTGAGACTCTGTCCCTCTCCAGTGTCTGATCATGTGGTCCTTATTTACCGTCAGCTCGAGCTGTCCGGGATCATTAGTTGTTTTGTCAGTGTTCTCTGTATTTTGTCTTTAAATGGTAAGTGTACAACGTTTGTTTTTCAACCACATAAAGTAAGAAAGTCAAAAGTCAGAATAATTTAATGTTTCCTGGATATCCATAGCGATGGGTACCGAATTCGGTACTTTTTAAGGTACCGACCGAATTCCATAGAACTGACTGAGCACCGATTCACGTCATTTGAAACGGTGCCTCGTTTCGGTACCTGTCCTTCATAACGAGAACTTGCCAAGACAGCTGCGCATGCGCAAGAGCGTGATGTCGTCGGTCCCTGCAAGCCAGTTGTAAACAGAGCAGCATGGTAGAAAGAACGCACGCTAAAGCTTGGGTCCACTTAAATGTGATGGGTAACTGGATGATGATGAAATCAGCGACAACAATCTAAGTGAGACATCCTCATCTTAATCTGCTCCGGTAGATAAATATAATGTTTAAGATAACGTTAGCTTGATATGTTAGCTTCCGTTCCGCTAATGGTGCGTTCGCTTTCTCCTCAGAACTCCGAATTTCGAAATAGATGAACATGAACGTGCTCTAAAGTTTGGCTTCACTTTACTAAATGCGACGGGTGATTGGGTGAAGATGAAACCAGCGACAACGATCTAAGTGTGAGGCATCATCGTTTTAATCTGCTCCAGCAGCTAAATAAACAGTTTAAGATAACGTTAGCTTGATATGTTAGCTTCCATTGCCACCATTGTTATCAGCTAATGGTGCGTTCGCTTTCTCCTCGGAAATTCTAACTTCCCAGTAGGAAAAATCAAATGAAAAAGGACGGCAAAATGAATGAAGATTCACAGTAAATTTAGTTCACAGTAAAGATGTTTGCTTCAGTTTAATTATCAGCTTATAAAACTACAAGGACGATGTTAAAATACAAACAGCTGTATGTTATTTATCGTGATATTTATCAAATATGGTTATAAATTGAGAAAAATATATATTTAATTATAAAAGAGAATTAAAATAATAAACACTCAAAAGTATCTAAAATTGGTACCTTTAAGTACCGGTATCGATTCCTAGGTACCGAGAATTAGTACCGAATCGATTCAGATGTCAAAGGTAGCCACCCCTAGATATCCATACTCACCACACTGCACTATTATGTTATCAATAGTGAGCTTCTAGTACACTGAACCTCCACCGGAGGGTAGACACGCACATCTGGAAAACCACATACCAGGAGCCTCATTTATCTACCGTACCAACCAACAGATCTGTGCGTTTATCGTGCGTACGAACTAATTCACGCGTTTTATAGTATTCCTTATTTTGTACCTGTGTGCGGAAATGTTCCTAAATAGTATATAAATTATTTAACCCATTAAATAATTATTCAGGTAGAAAAAAAGCCATGTCACATAGCTGCTGCTAAAACACCCAATGGTAATCTGACATTGTAGAATGGATTTATGATGTTTTTAATTAATTAATATTATATTTAATTACATTTCATTATTTTCTTCGTCCTTGTGAAGTGCCTCGTGATTCTGCTTGAGATGCGTTAGATAAAAGAACGTTTCTAATTATTATTAATAAGGATTTGTCGGAGCATGCTCTCTGGAGTAAACGTGTTTTCGTGAGCATGACAGGAGATTTTTCTGGATCTGTGCTGTGATTTGTGGAGCGACAGACAAACCGCACAAATCCGATTCAGTCCAGATTCTATGTTACAACAACAACGAGTGTCACGAGGTGGTTTTGGAGAGAGGTTAGGACCCAAGATGCAGAACCAGATAAACGAGGCAGGAGGTGGAAGAAACGTAAAAATCCTTTATTAAGGAGTAAATCCAGAGAATGCAGGGTGCCAACAAACAAAATCCAAATATCCTAGTAACTAAACCTAGAGATCC